CCTGCACCCCCTCATCTTGCTCTTTTTAAAAAATTTTTATTGTTTAAAGTATTACATATGTCTCCTCCCCCCCCCTCGATTGACCTGCACCCCCTCATTCTTGCTCTTATGATCTCTTAGAAACAAAGACTGGGTTCTTTTCTGGCTTGAGAAGGAAGATTGATGGGTGGGGCACACCATCCCCTAAAATGTTTAAACAAGGCATCGCTTTCTATTTTCTTTTTATTCACACCTAGGCAACAACAAGGCACGTCCCACAAAAGGAGAATGAATTTTTCTTGATAAAAGCCGACTTTCTGTTTTCAGGACAAGAACATTTGTAGGTACCTTGGCTGTGATGTGGGATTGGTGGGCATCTGGACTGAGCCCAAGAACATCCACACAGGGAGGTAAAGCTGCCTGGGTACTTGGAGTGAGAGGCCTGGGCAATATGGCTCAGGGAACAGATGTCCTGAACCAGGTTGTGAATTTCCAGAGCCCAGGGGTTAGAACAACTTGACATTCATTTTAAGGTGGATTATGCTGTTTTATATTCTGTTTTTTTCTTTCTTTTTTAATCCTCACCTGAGGATATGTTTTTATTGGTGTGTGTTTTTTGAGAGAAACATTGATGTGAGAGAGAAACATTGATTGACTGCCTCCTATAGCGTCCCAACTGGGGATCGAACAACAACCTAGGTATGTACCCTGATTGGGAATTGAACCTGCAACCCTTTGATGTATGGGATGGCACTTCAACTAACTGAGTCACCTAGCAAGGGCTTGCATTCTGTTTTCACTAATACTTTTCATGTATAGAATATCTTTAATGAACACTTTTCTTCATGATATTTTAAATATCTCTCCCTCTCCAATGATTGAATTTATTGAGCACTTACTGGGCGATGAGTGCTGTACTTGGTACTGAATATGGAAAATGAGGTTCCTGTACTCTAATAGCTTACATTTTGGAGGACAGCACAATGCCAAGAATATTTTTAGGTGCTTGTTATATACTTCAGTGTTTTTAGAGCGATAAACATGAGTCATGGATTTTAAATAAGACAGGTTCAATTTTGTCATTATACTATTGTTCAAAACAATTTGCTCAATCAATGGATCAGCATTTCCTTCAGTGATTCTGGGATAATGAAGAAAAGTGGGTGAAAATCTTCTATAATAATAAAAGCGTAATATGCTAATTAGACCGGACATCCTTCCGGAAGACCTTCGGGACGAAGCCCGGGCTGCAAGGGAAGCCCGGGTCCCGGGTGCCAGAGGGAAGCCAGTGCCAACAGCTGGGAGAAGGAAGGCCTACTCTTGCCCAGATTTCATGCATAGGGCCTCTAGTATTATATAAAATATTAGGCATTAGGCATCTTGGACTCTCCATGAAAATAAGATATTTTAAATTTAGGATCAGGAGTTCCTAGACTATACTCTAGGGAAAATCTTGAGAAAGACAAAAGGAATTTACTATTGTCTGACTGTGTGATCTTGGGTAGCTATCTGTATCTCAGTTTCTTCATTTAGAAAATGATGGAGTTGGTCTGGATATTTATAATAAAATTCCTTTCAGCTCTAAAATTTTATGACTTTGGTCTAGAATGGAAATTAATGTGAAAATGAATTTTGATAGATATTGCTCTAACTGCCATTAAAATAACTATTTTCTACAAATACACCCATACTATTTTGGTATTTCATCTTTGATAAGTGAAAAATGCTATGTGATGTTTTGTATTTTATTTCTTTAATTAATTGGAGAGGTTGGGTGGGTTTTCATATATATTAAATTTGAATGGTTATTCTTTTTCTTAAACAATTATATGATTTTATGATCCAGATAAGACACTGTAAAGTTACCTTGCCATCAAGTACTTGGATGATTTATTGGAGGCATTATTATTATTATCATTATTATTTTCAGTGAGATAAAGTCCACTATTAAAAAAAGAAGGAAGCTTCATGGAGGGGAAAAAAGGCTTAACTTTTCAGAAATAGCTTTAACTTATCAGAAAAAACTATAAAACTCTTAAGCAAAGCTGCTAAAATAAATGGAAACTAAAACTTCTAGACATAAAACAAAGCTGCAGCTACTTGTGATTCCTACACAAGTATGACCAATTTGATCAAGAATCTGAATTGATTCTTAGCTTTTTTCTGACTGACTTATTTTGCTTAGCATAATACTCTTAAGATCCATCCATGTTGTCACAAATAGCAATATGGCTGAGTAGTATTCCATTGTATGTATGTACCACATCTTTTTTATCTAATCATCCATTAAAGGAAACTTTGGTTGTCTCCAAAGACCCATATGATTTCACTCATATGTGGGATATAAAAATGAAACTCATAGACAACAATATGGTGGTTACCAGAGGGAAGGGGTTGGGGGATGCTAGTAGAGGTTAAAAGGGGACAAATATATGGTGATAGAAGATGGTTTGACTGTGAGTGGTGAGCACACAATGCAATATATAGATCATGTGTCATAGAAATGTACACTTGAAATCTATATGATCTTATTAACCAATGTCACCCTAATAAATTTTTTTTAAATCCTCACCTGAAGATATTTTTCCATAAGTTTTTTAGAGAGAGTGGAGGGAAGGGGGAGAGATAGAGAGACAGAAACATTGATGTGAGAGAGACACACCAATTGGTTGCCTCCTGCATGTGCCTGGACCAGGGCTGGGGATTGAGCCTGCAACTGAGATATGTGCCCTTGACTGGAATTGAACCTGGGACCCTTCAGTTTGCAGGCTGATGCTCTTTCCACTGAATCAAACTGGCTAGGGCACCCCAATAAATTTAATCCTAACTAATAAAGAGGGAATATGCTAATTGACCCTCATGCTGTCTCAAAGATGGTGGCGCCCACAGCCAATAAGGAGGGAATATGCTAATTAACTGCCCCGCCCT